ATATGTGTATATATATATATATATATATGTGTGTGTGTGTGTGTGTGTGTGTGTTTAATTGCTCTTTTAGCTACTTTTGCCTGAACTTAACACTGTAAGTGAAAGAAGGCATTTCTTGAGTTGCTGTAAATTATGCTACAAACCGGATTCCAAAAAAGTTGGGACACTAAACAAATTGTGAATAAAAAGTGAATGCAATGATGTGGAGATGGAAAATGTCAATATTTTATTCGTAATATAACATAGATGACAGATCAAAAGTTTAATCTGAGTAAATGTAACATTTTAAAGGAAAAATATGTTGATTCAAAATTTCACAGTGTCAACAAATCCCAAAAAAAGTTGGGACAAGTAGCAATAAGTGGCTGGAAAAAGGAAATTGAGCATATAACGAAAAGTTGGAAGACCAACTAACACTAATTAGGTCAATTGACAACATGACTGGGTATAAAAAGAGCTTCTCAGAGTGTCAGTAGCTATGTTTACATGCGCAGAATTCTTTGACCGGATTGAAATGTGTTCTGTTTGAATAATTCAAATGTATTGTTTACATGGGCACAATCTGTTCATGACGAACGTTTACATGCAACGGGCTTTGTTCTGAACAGCAGTACTGACATGCGCAGAGTGGTAAACTCTCCTTAAAAAAAACACCGAAGAAGAAGTTCTACTTCCGGGTGAATGTAAACAAATCTGAGCACCCAATATGGACCCACGACAGGTTTTAATGACGGTGGAGACGTTACTGCACTCCCTGACTGAGCAACAGGTAATACAGATCATTTTGAGCTCTTTCAAAGTTTCTAGTAAAAATGTTGTGTTGCTCACCGACCAGTTTTGCTTCCCTGACATGCTAATATTATTAGCAGTAGCCAGGCGGAAATGGCAAAGTCGCACATGCGCAGTCAGGTCAGTTTTTCACGATCAGATAAAAACGAACAGATCAAGCGTTTACATGCGCACCGATCGGGTTACGGATCGGCGTAAACCACCCGTTTCGTTCTGATCACAAATTATATCGGATCGTGCCAAATACACAAAAAATAACCCGAACGGAGTGTTTACATGACACACTTTTATTCCGACCGGCCATTTGATCCGGTTACTTATGTCCATGTAAACATACCAAGTGTCTCTTAGAAGCCAAGATGGTAAAAGGATCACCAATTCCACCATTGTTGCGCAGAAAGATAGTGCAGCAATACCAGAATGGTGTTACCCAGCGTAAAATAGCAAAGACTTTTATGTTATCATCATCAACCGTGCATAACATCATCAAAAGATTCAGAGTATCTGGAACAATCGCTGTGCGTAAGGGTCAAGGTCGTGAAACTCTACTGGATGCTTGTGATCTCCGGGCCCTTAAACGTCACTGCACCTCAAACAGGAATGCCACAGTCAAGGAAATAACAGAATGGGCTCAGGAATACTTCCAGAAAGCGTTGTCAGTGAACACAGTCCACCATGCCATCCTCCTTTGCCAGCTGAAACTACAGTTCAAAGAGGAAGCCATTTGTAAGCAAGCTCCACAAGCTCAGACGTTTGCACTGGGCCAGGGGTCATTTGAAATGGAGTGTGGCAACATGGAAGACTGTTCTGTGGTCAGATGAGTCACGATTTGAAGTTCTTTATGGAACACTGGGACGCCATGTCATCCGGACCAGAGAGGACAAGGATAGCCCAAGTTGTTATCAACGCTCCGTTCAGAAGCCTGCATCACTGATGGTATGGGGTTGCATGAGCGCTTGTGGCATGGGCAGCTTGCATGTCTGGAAAGGCACCATTAATGCAGAGAACTATGTTCAGGTTCTAGAACAACATATGCTCCCATCTAGACGTCATCTCTTTCAGGGAAGACCCTGCATTTTTCAACACGATAATGCCAGACCACATTCTGCAGCAATCACAACATCATGGCTACGTAGGAGAAGGATCCAGGTACTGAAATGGCCAGCCTGCAGTCCAGATCTTTCACCTATAGATAACATTTGACATATCATAAAGAGGAATGTGCAACAAAGAAGGCCCAAGACGATTGAACAGTTAGAGGCCTGTATTAGACATGAATGGGAGAGCATTCCTATTTCTAAACTTGAGAAACTGGTCTCCTCTGTCCCCAGACGTCTGTTGAGTGTTCTAAGAAGAAGGGGGGATGCCACACAGTGGGAAAAATGGACTTGTCCCAACTTTTTTGGGATTTGTTGACGCCATGAAATTTGGAAACAACAGATTTTTCCCTTAAAATGATACATTCTCTCAGTTTAAACCTTTGATCGGTGATTTGTGTTCTATTCTGAATAAAATATTAGATGTTGGCACCTCCACATCATTGGATTCAGTTTTTATTCACAATTTGTTTAGTGTCCCAACTTTTTTGGAATCCGGTTTGTGTAATACTTATTTACTCTCTCATTCCAGAAAACAACAACAACAAACATTGACTGCCTTCATGATGGACAAACATCATGGACACCACAGCAAGCAGCTGTCTTTACTGAAATCATCCCTAAATGATCGTCACTGACATGAGGCCTCTGTCGATGGTTGAAGACGAAGGCTTCACTACAATAATCCACACTTTTAATCCAGGTTACACTCTTCGCTCAAGGACACATTTTACAAAGTAGCTACATATTGTGCAGGTATAAAGCATACATTTGTATATATTTTTGTGTACATTAATTTTTTAAAGCTATTTGACTAACTTTTGTGTTTTATTATTCAAAATTTTACTAACAGAATAGTCAAATAGCAACCTGTTTTTTTGTGAGAATTGCTATGTCAGTCAAATGTTCAATTTTGGAATAAAGGGGTGGAAATTAAAACTTTTTTTTTTTTTTGCGATTCATCGTTTAATCGAAAAAATAATCGGCCGATGAATCGATTATTGAAATAATCGTTAGTTGCAGCCTTAGTTATGTTTTGGTGTTAAAAGTTAAAACTATTAATACATGTCGTTATTAATGAGAAGATGACTTGTAAATCTCATGTAAATTACTTAAGACTAAAAATAGCAAAAATAAAGTAAGAGTTTCTGAATGACAAAAGTTTATATATTGTATAATGTAATGATTGCTCCATATTTAAGTCAGAGTCAGAGTTTCTTTATTGTCATTCGCACCTCATGTGGTACATGTGGTGGAGCGAAATTATGTACACAGGGTCCCAGTTACATCCAACAATAAAATGTATAAGAAAAACGGTAATAACATCTAAGGTATGAACTAAGAAAAACATCAACTAAATATACACTAAGCACTCATAACATAAAAACATTGAACATCAGCACAAACATGAACATGAGTCTGTGAGAGATGTGCACGCATGAACACATCAACATTGAAACAGATCAGCAGCAACATGAAACAGATCAGCAGCAACATGATATGGTTTTTCACAGTGATTATTCTAGTTAGAGATTCATGAGTCTAACAGCCTCAGGGTAGAAGCTGTTCCTCAGTCTAGTGGTTCTACACTTAATGCTCCTTAACCTCCTTCCTGAGGGGAGTGGGGCAAAAAGTGTGTGTGCTGGGTGAGTGGGGCCCTTCATGATGCAGGTGGCCCTCTTCCTGCATCTGGAGGTGTAGATGTCTGTGATGGTGGGGAGGCTGATTCCGAAAGATTTCTGTGCAGCCTTCACCACTCTCTGCAAAGCTTTTCTTTCTGCAGCTGTGCAGCCTCCATGCCACACATTGATGCTCGAGCACAGGATGCTCTCCACTGCACACCTGTAGAAGGAGGTGAGGACTGAGCTTCCCAGACCAGCTCGCCTCAGCCGTGTGAGGAAGTAGAGTCTCTGATGAGCTTTCTTGATCAGGCTGGTGGTGTTGTTGCTCCAGCTGAGGTTGTCATTCATGTGTACACCCAAGTACTTGTAGCTGGAGACCACTTCCACCGCAGATCCTCTTATGTTCAGGGGGGTGTAGGTGTTTTTGTTCCTTCTGAAGTCCACAATCATCTCCTTTGTCTTCTTCACATTGATGTGAAGGTTATTCTCTCTGCACCAGCTCTCCAGGTGTTCCACCTCTTGCCTGTAGCTGGACTCATCATTGTTTGTGATGCATCCCACCACCGCTGTATCATCTGCAAACTTTACAATGTGACAGCCTGGATGGGTAGCTGCACAATCATACGTGAGCAGAGTAAACAGGAGGGGGCTCAACACACATCCCTGAGGAGAGCCAGTGCTGAGGGTTATGGTGGAGGAGGAGAGGTTGTGGATCCTCACTAACTGTGGTCTGTTTGTTAAAAAGTCTAGTACCCAGTTGCAGATGGAGGGGCTTAGTCCTAGTGTGGATAGTTTGTCCATCAGGGTTTGGGGGATCATGGTGTTGAAGGCGGATGTGAAGTCCACAAAGAGCATACGGACGTAAGAGTTTTTCTGCTCCAGGTGGTTGAGCGCAGTGTGGACCACAGAGGAGATGGCATCCTCTGTTGATCGGTTCTCACGGTATACATACTGATAAGGTTCCTCGTTGATGTTGATGGTTGTTTTGATGCGAGTCATGACCAGTTTTTCAAAGCATTTAGCGACTATCGGGGTGAGGGCCACTGGCCGATAGTCATTCAGACCAGTCACTGTAGAGCTTTTTGGGACTGGGATGATGGTGGCAGTCTTCACGCAGGTGGGAACTGTCTCCAGGGTAAGTGAGGTGTTAAAGATGTCTGCCAGCACCTCACAGAGCTGATCAGCACATTCCTTCAACACTTTTCCGGGGATGTTGTCTGGGCCAGTTGCCTTGTGCGGATTAATCCTCCTGAAGGTACTCCTTATTTCTGCTGAGGTCACGCTGAGATGCTCTTCATCCAGTGGTGAGGTGAGTCTGGTGCTGGGTGGTCTGTTCAGGTCTTCAAAGCGTGCATAGAACTTGTTGAGGGCATCAGGCAGAGATGGGTCTTTGGGGCATTGTTCGCTCCTTCCTTTATAATCTGTTATGCACTTAATGCCCCTCCACATGCTCCGAGGGTCTTGTGAGATGAATTGACCCTCGATCCTCTTTGCATATGTGCCCTTGGCCCTCTTAATACCAGCAACCAGCTCTTTTCTTGTCCTACTCAGCTCCTCTGAGTTTCCAGACCTGAAGGCAGTGTTCCTGGCTTCCAGCAGGGTACACACCTCTGCATTCAGCCAAGGTTTTCTGTTTGGGTAGCTTTTAACATTTCTGATAGTGGAGACGGTGTCAGTACATGTACTAATGTAACCCAGAACTGAGGATGTGTATTGGTCAAGATCAAGCAAACCTCCATTTTCAGCAGCTTCTCTGAAAACCTGCCAGTCTGTTCGGTCAAAACACTCTCTCAGTATGGGGCCACTGTCCTGGATCCAGCATTTAACTTTCTTTTGTACCGGTCTGGAGCGTCTCAGCGGGGGCATGTAAGCAGGAGCCAGGAAGATTGAGATGTGGTCTGACAGTCCTAGGTGGGGGCGGGGTTCGGCTTTGTATGCATCTTTTACGTTCGTGTAAACACGGTCCAGCGTGTGGTCTCCACGTGTTGGAATCGCCACATGTTGATAAAAGCTTGGGAGACAGTCCTTTAGATTCATGTGGTTAAAGTCTCCGGCTACCACGTAAAGAGCCTCGGGTTGTTTGTTCTGCAGCGAGCTGATGATATCATGTAGCTCCTGCAGTGATTCATTAGCATTAGTGTCCTGAGGAATGTAAATGACAGAGATGAAAGTCACCGTGAACTCGCGGGGTAGATAATGTGGCCGACATTTCACAGTTATTTGCTCCAAAGCCTTCGAGCATGAGCTATTTACAACAGTACAGTTCGTGCACCAACTTTTACTCACGTAAATGCATACTCCGCCTCCCCATGATTTCCCCGTTAGCTCGCTGTAGCGGTCCGCTCGAAAAAAAAGTCTGTCATCCAGCTGGAAGACTGTGTCCAGCGTTTCGCTTGTAATCCACGTTTCCATGAGGCAAAGCACCGCACACTTCTTCATCTCTTCTGAGGTGCCCGCTCTCAGACGAAGTAAATCCATCTTGTTGTCCAACGAGCGGACATTCGACAGAAAGAGACACGGCGTGGGGAGTTTACCGGCTTTAGCGTTAGCTCGTAGCCTCACCATAACCCCCGCCCGACATCCTCTCCTCTTAAGCCGGGAGCAGCGCTTTCTCTTCTGCCCGCTGGAACGCCTCTGCTGCAGCTTCCAGGTAGATGACTTTAAAGATCTGCATTCTGCCGAGCGTAGTTTTGAGTTTGTTGCTGATTTCTGCTATATTTCGTGGCAAATCCGCTCCTATTCTCATCAGTTCGGTTCGGCTATAGTTCACACGCATAAATCGCGCAGTCAGGCACAGACTCAATATCAAAACTTCTAAAAACTGGGATGGTACCGGGAGCCTGTGAAGCTGCAACTGCTCTGAGCGCGGCCATCTTGCATCTTGCATCTTGCAATATACTGTATTGAAGTTTTGGGGAAAAGCATGTAAAACAATTACAAACCCTGTTTTACAAAAAAGAGCTCTTAAGAATTATTCGTAGGAAGTGCTATGGTCACCCAACAAATATATTATTTCATCATTTATTCATTCAACCTTTATCAATTGAAATTATTTAAATTTTATGATTTGATTGAATATAGTATTTTACAAGTAATGTATAAAGCTCATAAAAAATATTGCCCCCAAATATTCAATAAAAATTTGTTTGAAAAGAGAGTCATTATTAACTTAATGGAATGGAAATGTTTGTAAAACTTCCATTTAGAACTACCGTATTTTCCGGCCTATAAGTCACAGTTTTTTGCATGATTTACATGCCCTACGACTTATAGGCCGAAGCGACATATTAATGGATTTTTTCCCCATATTTATAAACGATTTTTTGGCCGAGATATAACGGTTTCCATTCATTCTGACTGAAATAATAAGGCAGTACCACTTTCAGCCACTTGATGGCAGCAGATTAATAATACTTGTATGGCATGCTATTGGCTTTTGTATCATGTAATAGGTAAACGTGGCTGTAATGACAAATTCAAAAAAGCTCAAGACAAAAACAACTGGACTTTATTTATTATACTATGCTTTATACTTTGTTTTTGTCTTGAACTTTTTAGAATTTACCATGTCCTGGATGACTGAGAATCTTCACCAGCTTGTAATGGCTCAATCGGCCTGCCTTAGTCTCCCCACTTTCATTCTGCTCTCTGCTTGGAACCAGTGTTGCCAGGTGTACGATAATTATCGTATTTGTATGACAATTTTGCCCTCTGTATGATCAATAATCCCAAAATAGGCCAAATATATGATCATTTGACCATTCCGTGACTGTGTGGTTGTAATCAGTTGTCATCGGCCTCTCGCAACTGTTTGTCACTTCACTTCCGGCGAGCTGATGGACGGCAGCTCCCTCCGACTTCTCTGCAGTCTTTTATCATCAAACTGACCCGTTTTTTTTTAACCGGACTAAAGTTGGTCCTCCTTCCAACCGAATTCGGTGTTCAGTGACTCAGAGAGCCGGACGGGACCGTCCAAAAATATATTTTGGTCCAGGACCGGCCGCTCCCACCCCACCGGTCACTCTGAGCGCACCCTGCCGGCCAGGTGACCCCTCGAGCTGGGGAGTCGTCGCACAAAGGTCCAGTGTTTTTTCTCTTTCTCTCTGGACCTCAACAACCTCTTATCTGGACCTT